GAAGCTGCTACATCTTGTAGGAACTCTGGAATTTAGCTATTATATTCCTAGGAGTTTTCCTTTAGGGATCTCTTTCAGGAGGAGATCGGTGGATTCTTTAAATTTCTATTTGGCCCTCTGGTTCTACTATATCAGGACAGTTTTCCTTGATAATTTCTTGAAAGATGATGTCTAGGCTCTTTTTTTGATCATGGCTTTCAGATAGTCCAATAATTTTTAAATTCTCTCTCCTGGATCTATTTTCCAGGTCAGTTGTTTTTCCAATGAGATATTTCACATTGTTTTCTAATTTTTCATTCTTTTGGATTTGTTTTACAGTGTCTTGATTTCTCATAAAGTCACTAGCTTCCAATTGCTCTATTCTAATTTTTAAGGAAGTATTTTCTTCAGTAGTTTTGTGGACTTCCTTTTCCATTTGGCCAATTTTTTTTTAGGGCATTTTTCTCCTCATTGGCTTTTTGGACCTCTTTTGCCATATGGGTTAGGCTATTTTCTAAGGTGTTAATTTCTTCAGTATTTTTTTGGGTCTCCTTTAGCAAGCTGTTGACTTTTTTTCATGATTTTCTTGCATCACTCTCATTTCTCTTCCAGTTTTTCCTCTACTTCCCTTACTTGCTTCTCAAAATCCCTTTTGAGCTCTTCCAAGGCCTGGGACTGATTCATATTTTTCTTGGAGGCTTTGGATGTAGGAGCTTTGACTTTGTTGTCTTCTTCTGGTTGTATATTTTGATCTTCTTTTCACGAAAGTAAGATAATATAGTCTGACTCTTTTTGCGCTGCTTGCTCATGATCCTGTCCAATTACTTGAGTTTTAAACTCTTTGTTAAGGTAAGAGTCTGCTTCCAATGTGGAGAATGTACTGTCCCAAGCTTCAGGGGTTTGTACAGCTGTTTTCAGAGATACTTGTAGGTATCTGTAAATTTTCAGTTCTCACAAGGTGGTATGATAAGGGGCAAGGTGTTTACTCCTTTCCTGGCCTGTGACCACAAGTATTCCTTTCTGTCCTGTATCTGTGAGGAGAGGTTCCTCTCCACAGCCACTACAAGCTCCACCACGCCAGCGCCCCTCCTCACCCCAGCACCGCCTCCCAGAACTGTGACCCAGATCCAAACACGGGCAAAGCAAGAGATCCCTGCCTGAGCACTGGCAAAGAGATCCCTGCAATCCCTCTCTGATCAGCCACTGGATTCCCCCTCAGTCTGTGGGCCGGAAGCTGGGGAAGCAGCTGCTCCCCCCCCAGGACCACGGTCTTGGAGAATGAAGCTGAAACCCCACCTTCCTTTCTTAGCACCAACAGAAACAGACTTTTCCCACAGACCTTCTAAGTTGTCTTTGGCATTAGTGGGTTGAGGATTCTGGAAACCTCCACAGCTGCCGGCGATTCAGTCCTCTGAGGCCTGCTCCATGTTCACTGAGGCCTGCGCACCCACGCTTCACTCCCAGCCTGGCGTGATACACCTTTCTGATCAATCGTCCAGGTTGTCTTGGGCTGGAAATTTGTTTCACTCTGTCTTTTTGTGGGTTCTGCTGCTTCAGAATTTGTTTAGAGCCATTTTTTATGAGTATTTGGAGGGGTTTGAAAGTCACTGCTTTCACTCCACCATCTTGGCTCCACCCCCAAGCAGATACTTTTAAAATGGGAAATGAGAGTGTTGTTTGGAGGGATGTACTTTGAAACCTTTATTGCTTTCTGAAAATAGGAGTTGTTCATATGGAGTATTTGTGCCTGATGTGGGTTGGAGCCTTCCCAGCTTGTATTGGTCTGTTCAGCCAGAGGTGGACACACTGTACCTTGACCTCAATATAGTGATGTCATTTTGGCCCTCATGGAGAAAGAAGGAGCACAACCAATTAGGGGAGGAAGTACCTTTGGGAGTCCAGAGCCTTGAATCTATTCCCCTTCCTATGTCATGATCCCCATTCTACAGAAAAGGAAGCTCCTCAAAAGCTTAGGTAAGTGACTGTTGATAATTCAAAATAAATTAATTAAATAAAAAAAGGAAGCTGAGGTTCAGTGTGGGCAGGTGACACCCCTGGTCACACAGCAGATAGGGCAGTGCCAGCATTCTAACCCATGTCTCTCCTACTTCCTCCTTCCTCACAGGGAGAGACAGAGAAGCCACAGGGAGTCTGAGAGGTCACCCATTCTCTGATTGATTTCCTATTCCTATTCACCTTTTTCCTCCAATAAATGACCATATGTTCTCTCCGAAGAAGGCACTGAGTGAACTGTCCTGAGTCTGCCCAGCTTATGTGGGGCTGGAGCCCCTCTAAGGCTTTCTCTGTCTTCAGGACTCAGTGCGTTCAGGCCTGAGATCTTGTGTGTCTGCCCTCAGCCCCATCTTCCTTCAGGGTTCTAGTTAGCTCACTCGGCCTTTTCTCATATCTTTTACTCTCCCGGTTTTGCAGTATTTCTGGGGGTGGATCTGGGGATGGCCAGAACCTGGACAGCAGAGTATCCCCATCCCCAACTGTACTTCACCCCGTGGACAGACACACAGGAATTAAAACTGGTTAATTTATTCATTGCCAAGTTCCCAGCAGGGGAAGAGAAGATTTGAGTACATTTAAGAGAGGTCATGTGACCCCTCTTGGAGCATCCTAACACCTTCATAACGAAGTAGTAAATAAACCAGTCCTTGGGCAGGGGGACAAGCACATCAACAGTTCCAGGGAAAGACATAGCGGGTCCCAGCATGGGCATCACAGCCCTTGGGGACAGGGTTCTCATTCCTCTTAAAATCTGTGCAGGAGCCACATGGCCCCTCCACTACTCAGGGCACCCCTCCCATTGGTCCACTAACACCTGGAAGTTTAATGGATTCCAGTCTTCTGACTGGTGCCGCAGGAGACATAACAATGTGTCCCACACTTGATGCTCCAGAAATTTGAACCAGTCTGATTGGCTCAGTTGGATACAGGGCCCCAAGCTCAACCCACTGGAGGGTGTGTGTATAGGAGAAGGGAAACCCTTGAAGAAGGCAGAACAAGGGAGTTGGGCATTAATATCACAGAGTGTTCTAAGGAAGATCCCCTTAAGATGAGAGATTTAGAGGTGATAGGGGCTTCAGGAGTAATTTAATACAACATCCTCACTTTTACAGAGAAGGAAACTGAGGCACCCCTTGTTGCTAGAGTCATAGTTCCTGGGTCTAGAAGAGAGAGAGTGGGTAGAAAGAAATTAAGGCAGCAACAACCTTCAGAGCTGAGAGAAGGAGAAAGTGGGGGCTGATCTGAAGGGGGAGAGGAGGGGATGCTGTCATTAGCTAAATGGCACCCAGTAGAGGAAAGCAGGAGGTAATGGGGGATAGGACACCTAGCCCAACCTAAAGGGAGCAGAGGTAACTAGGTCCCTTAAGGAGCTGAGAGATGTACTGGGGTTAGGGACAGGGAAACATCCAAACTGGATCAGGATATGGGGTCCTCTTCTGAGTACAGTGTAGAGGGGATGAGGGGAGAAGGATCAGAATAAGAGGATAGCCCATCCTCTTGGCTGCCCTGCCTCTGGTCAGGTTGCCTCAGTCTCCAGCCCGGCCATCAAGTCTCCCATGCTGTTCACTTAGTAGTGGGGCACCTCCAGTCCCTCTCTGTCTCTCTCCCACTGCTGGACCCTGCTCAGGGAGAGTGAGTCAATGTGTACTCAGTGAACCTCATCACCTAAGGCCATCATCTGACCCCAGAAACCAGGCTCAGGGAGGTACTAAGGCCTGCCCTCAATCACACAGCCAATTCCCAGCACAGGCTGCCCTGGAACCTGGCTTTCATCTTTGTATCTCCAGGCACCCAGAGGCTCTTTTCACTCAGGACTGGGGGCTGCATCTCCTTCCTCCCTCTGACACTGGGCCTGGCCTAGAGGGAGTGACCCCCAAATATTTGTGGACTGATCACCCCCCTTCTGCTCTGGGGAGCGTGGATGTGGTGCTGAAACAGAACCATTTATGCGTACAAGATGTTCGAGAGTTGGTCTCTTGCTTTCTTCCTTGACTGGCTGGAAGAAATAGTGGAATTTATTATACTTCGGAGGAGGACAGGAGAGATCAAAGGCTCACAAAAGGGACAGCAGAGGCCTTGTGGTCCAACTTCCTCATGTTACAGAGAAGGAAACTGAGGCAGGGAGAATGACTTGAGCCTATAGGAGCATAGGTGTGGAGAGCTGGAAGGACCTTGGAGGCCAAGCTCTTCATTTTACTCCTGAGGAAACAAGCCCAGGGACTTCTCCAAGATCACTTAGACAGTGAGGGTCAGAGGTCAGATTCACACCCAATACCTGTGACTCCAGAGCCAGTGAATGTCTTTCCCCTCTCCTGCCATCCTGCCTCCAGATCCCTCTGAGCTTCCTTAGGCTGCCCCTCAAAGGGACACAGTGCTACCTTTTTTGTATTCCTCACCTTTCCAGCAGCTGGGCTTGCCCACAGTCTGTGCTCTGGGCCCCTGTCTTCACTAATATTCAGAGGATCCCCTGCAGTTACTGCTGTGGGAAATCCCTTCCTCACTGCTAGTCAGGGATTGTCTTGGCTTCTAAGTGCTTGTCATTTGATTTGCTTTATGGCCCAGGCTCCTGACAGTCTGGGAAAGCCCTTCTCAGATTAATGTGGTGATTGTGGTGCTTTTTTTCATGTTGTGAAGTTACATTATTCTATTTTTAACATTCACTTTTTCAAATTTTGAGTTCCAAACTCTCTTCCTTCCTCTACCTGTTGAAAGGGCAAGCAATGTGAGATGAATTAGAATAATGTCTTTAAATATATAAAACACAGAGCCATACTAGGAACACCACAAGTCAATGACAATAAAAGTAGCATTTTTTCCCATCTGAAAATTACCCACAGACCTCAGGTGGAGAACCCTTGTTCTAGAGAGGCAGCAAAGGAAAACTAAGGTGGAGGGACTTGTCCAGGGTCACCTAGCCACTCTTCCCAACTCCAAACCCAGCCCTCTCTGACCCAGACCAGAATCACACAGACAAGGTCAGCTGTTCTCATCAGCAGCATGTTTATTAGTCGTAAGACAGAGGCAAGCATCCACAATGCTCTGAAGCTGGCTTGATTGCAGGGCTCACTCGAAGGCAAAGGTTCTGATTACAAAATCACCAAAAACTCCCACGTAGTCAATGTTTGTTGCCTCCGTGCGATTGGGAAAATTCAAGTAATGACCGTCAGGCAGCCTCACCAGAAAGAAATTCCCTTCAAATTCTATGCAAATCTGAATGGGAGAGGGCAGAAGAAACTGAACAGAGAACCCTGGGCTTAGAGACAGGAAGGCTACCTCAACACACTAAAAGAGACCCTGTGTGATGTCAAGCAAATCGCTTCTCCATTCTGAGCCTCAGTATCCTGCTTTCTAAAAGGAGGGAGTCAGACCAGATGGTTCTCTCCAGTTCTAAATCTAAGGTCCTCTTACATGTCATAAGACACTTCAGAATCTTCTGTTATCCTGTTGAGTCAACAGCCCAGCCCAGCTCCCTCCCACTCCAGCTGTGGAGATGCTGGGCTTCTTGCCCCTGCCCTTTGGAAACCCACTGACCCCTTTCTCCTGTAGCTTTTCATCTTTTCCCCATCAGAGTTTGTTTCCAGGGCTCTTCTGTCAAATGCAAGGTTGGGGTTGAGACCTTCTGTTGGGACCTCCGCAGCTCTGACATGCCATGCTCTGATTCTGGGGTCTTACCTCCACAGTGGTCCCCTTCTGAAAGGGGAAGTGGGTCTCCCTTACTTCCTGTCCAAATTTGCCATCAACCATGGTGTTGAAGACAATGTGGTTCTGATCATAACCAAAGTCGAAGCGTATGCTGAAGTGCAGTGCAAGGTTGTTGCTATTCTTGCCCATGTCTATTGTAAAGCTGGGAATTGAGAACACATCTCCATCATTGCCATGGGACGGAGAGTCTTGGAAACCCACCACTCAGAGAATCCCTGAGCTAGAAGACCACCCCCACCCAAGGGACTCTCACTCAATGCTGACCTGAAGCACCATGGCTTCTCTTCTACATTACCCTTCCTACCCCCACCCTGTTCAACAGGTGATCATTATACATTTTGCTACCTCCATGGCCAGGGAGCTCACTACCTATGCAAATTCTCCATTCCAGGTACTGGGTGGCTCCTGTTAGGAAGTTTTCCCTGATGCTGAGTCATGGCCCTGCCATCTGGGGTTGAGGCAAAACCAGCTGGGTGCTTCTAATCAAGGGTCAAGTACAAGCAGGTTTGTAAAGGATCCAGCTCTCACCCATGGTTTTCTGTCATCCATCCCATGTCTCACTTACTGCCTGGCATCAGGTAATATGTCTCCCACTATTCTTATGAATGATCCAGGTTGGCATGTTCACGTCATAGGCTGATATTTGCTGAAGAGAGCAAGCATGGCATGGTTAGGGCTGGCTGGCAGCTGAGGGGACCCAGAGCTTCTGGTTGGGCAGGGCCACCCTCCAGGAAGGATCTAGGAAAGCAGGCTCTCCTCCTCCTGCTGAAATGGGAATCAGTCCCAGGTCTGTGACCTTGGGGAAACCCCTTCATATCTCTGGGCCTCAGTTTCCCCATCTGTTAAATGAGGAACTAGCCTAGATGATTGATCTAGTCCACTCCTCATTTTTCAGATCAGGAAAATTAGGCTGCAAGAAAGGAGAAGGGAGCTGTCTCTGGTCACACAAGTGAGCAACAGAATCAGAACTGAAATCCAAGCTTTCTGGGTCCCAGGACCAAGTTCTCTCTGTCCCACTGGCTATCTCATCACCATTTTTGGCTGACATCACATGTATGCTGGCGCATGGGCAAGGATGTAGGAGGAAGGGAGGACAGTGGTGCTACTCCAAGGGTAGGAGATAGACTACAGCTCAACTGGAAACTCTCTGGCAGCTTAGGTCAACCTTATCTTGCCTCCCCAATACCTTCAGTCACTATCCTGCCCTCTTCTTCACTCTCCCAGAGCTGCCTTCATCTCATTTAGCAGGCAAATAAAAAAGCCTCCTCAGAAAAGTTTTCAGGAAGAGCTTCCTCTTTCTCCCAGAGCCAAGTCCTGGTCACAGTCTAGTGTAGGAGCCAGCTGTGCCCAGGAGAAGGGGAGTTGGCAAGGGAAGGGAAGATTCAGAAAGAATTCAGAATCAAGGGTGACCTTGACTGAAACACTTAGGTAAAGGAACTTAGCTTTTCCTGCCCCGGAGTAAAAGGATAAGGGAATCAGGGCAGCAGAGGTATAGGGTCCCTTCATGTAACCAAATCAGTGAAGAAGTCCTTGGGGGCAGGGGGAGGGAAATCTTATGAGCTGGCTTCCTAGGGAAAAGGGAAGTAATGTATTTGTGAGATCAATTGCTTATTATTTTTAAAAGTGGGGAAGGTGTCAGGGGGCCTAGAATTAGGAATGACCTAAGTAGTCACTTGCCTCCCTGGCCCACCCATTCCTCCATCTCTAGACTCCTGCTTTTCCAACCTAGCCTCCTCAGCCTGGACTCTTTCTGTACCATGAGGCTCAGTTGTAGACTGACTGTAGGACAGTTATTTATTCCAGAAAGTCTGATCGTCTGGCAGAAAATTCATTTCTGCCTCTATTTTCCCTTCCCTCCACCTGACCCCTTTCCCTCTCCTATCCATTTAAGGAAAGGGGTTGCCAGACCTTCTACCCCCACCAGGAAGGAGACATTTCTCTTCAGAGGCAGGGGACACCCTAACCTTAATCCATGCGAAGTCCCAATTCTCCTTGCCGCCTCTCCCCAGGATGTCTCTAAACTTACCAACTTGTCAAAGACAATTTGCAAGGGGGATGGGGCATGGAAGGGATTGCCCTTACAAGGGCTGGGGAGGTCCGGGTGGGGGGTTAGAGAAGGAGAAGAGAAAGGAGCCCCGCCTCATGGGAGAGAGTGGTGTGGCGAAGTGAGCATTTCCCTCGACCCCGTCCCCAACACACTCTTCTCGAGGGTCCCCGATTCTTTCCAAGCCTCAAGCCCAGAGGATCCTTCACTTCCAGTCCCTCAGCCGATACCCAGGACAAGGAGACCCTGGCACACTCACTTTGGCCATGACTGGGGTTGAGAAATTTTCCTGGGATTCTCCTGGCTGCGCTGGGTCCCGGAAGGATAACGTCCAGCTCCAGCGCAGAGATGGTGAATCAGGAACGCGTCGGACCCTTCAAATAGAGGGTTGGGTTCTGGGGTTCTGTGGAGTCCAGAGCTGCACCCCACCCCAGCCACGCCCTCTCGACTTTTTCCCCAAGCTGGAGTGCAAAAGAGGAGGGGCCGCACATCAGGGGCGGGGCCTGTAGAATTTTAGAAGTCTTTCTTAGAAGGTCAGGCCAATCAAGGTGGTGACATTCCTGTTGCCACACCCCCTCCACATCAAGCTCCACCCTTTTCTAGACTTTTCCCCACATCCAAACGCCAAAAACTGTCCTGTATGGGATGAGGTTGGAGCGCGTGCTAGAGAGATCGGGGGAGCCAATGGAAAACTCGTTTCAGAACGAACGAGAATCTGCTATTGGCAGAAAGGGCCTGGGGGCATACTGTGGAGGGAAGGCCATGCTCTGGTCTGGCTCAGAGTCACCCTGTTGGCTTCCAAAGAGTCCATCTGAAGGGGGAAATCCTAATTCGAGTATGGCAAAGCATAGGCAAACTTAGGAAAGCAACTGGTTTCTTAATAATATAGAAACTGAGGCACTGGGGTCACTTGGGCCTGAGGAACTGAGCCAGGACTTCTACCCAGGCTCTCTAACCATAAGTACAGAGATTTTTCTACTAGGTGTCAGAATAGGGGTCCTAGGAATCCTGTGACACACCCTTCCTGAGACAAGCAGACCCCTGCCCTGACACTGAGACTAAGGAATGAAACAAAGGTGCATGTTCAGAGGGTGCAGGCCCCTGTGATTCCATTAAACCAAGGGGGAATGGTTGAGGAGACATGAGCTGCCTGAAAGAAGAGATCTTTTGCCATCTTGCCTACTCTTTCTTTATTTTATTAAAAAAAATTAATTTACAGAATAAAACAAGTATTTCCATAACATAATATAATAAAAAACATTCCTTGGGATCTTCATTTGTAATTTCTTGGGTTAGAGTGGCAATGATTTATATTCAGATAGTATACCTTGATCTTTTCCCTATCATTGACCAATAAGGTTATTTCCAAGTTTTGGACTTTATGAATAATATTTCTGCACATATGGTTGGGTTTTTTGTTACAGTAATATACTTAGGATATCATTCTAGTAGTGGGATTGTTGAGGTTTAGAGGTTTAAGGGTACTGAGACCCTAAAATCACAACAAGTGAGTCCTGCCCAAAAGAATTCAGCCCAAGCCTTCTTTCAGTCAAAGACAAGGTTTATTAGAACATCCATCATATTGGGCAGACTCAAAACATTTGTATCACTAATGCAAGTGGGCCAGATTTTAAGAATCTGAGCCTATCTTGCCTACTCTTTCACTCTGCATCTTGTTCCTCTCAGGAGGGAGTCCTTCAGCTGCAAGTCATATACATTCTGTGACCCTCACTTCCCTCATTTGTAAATTGGGACCCTAATAGAATTAAAAGTAGAGCATCGTAATAGATAGAGATGCACTCCCTCAAAGTCAAGAAAATCTGGGTTCAAATCCCACCTCACAAGTCACCTAACTTCTCAGTGCTTGAGGTCACTCTCTAAGAAGGAGTTCTTCACTGGATAGAGCACCGGCCCTGGATTCAGGATGACCTGAGTTCAAATCCGGCCTTAGACACACAACACTTTCTAGCTGTGTGACCCTGGGCAAGTCACTATCCTTAAAAAAAAAGATAGGAGTTCTTAACCTGTGTTCACAGATTTCCCCTGGCTCCACGGATAGATTACAAGGGGATTTGAGAGAGGAAAAGAAATTATATATTTATTTTCACTGAATTGTAACTGTTTCATGCTATTTCCTTCTACTATTTGAAAAACAACAACCACCACCACCACATTTTTCTCAGAAGGGTTTCAGCAGATTGCCCGGGGGGTCAATGATACAAACCAGTTAGAGGACGTCTGCTCTAAGCTTCTAAATTTCAGAGAAGGTGCTGACTTGCATTTGGTGGAGGGAGCCCTTTGTTCACTTGGGAGTTCCCTATGCACACTTTATCAGGACAGGATGAGTCCTTGTCCCTATTCTCTAACTGAATCATCAAATCTCCACTTGGAAGGGATGTCAGACAACTATTGAAATAAAATCTTCCTCTGAAACATTCCCCCCAAATAGTCACTAGGTTTCCTTTGAACACCTACAACAATGGGAGCTCATTCCCTATGGCATCAACTGGCTCTATTTCTGCACAGCTCCCATGGTTAGATTGAAGGGACAGCTCCCTCTGCACCTTCCCCAGTTCCTTCTGGTTCTGCCTCTGAGGCTGAGCAGGACCAGGCAAAATCCTCTCCTGTAGGACAGCCCTTCTGTACTTTCAAGCAAAGCTCATGTACCCAAGCCCAACATCCTTAATTACTCCTTCTCCCACCATCTATCTGAAAAGCAAGAAATGCACTCCATAAACCTTGGAGAGGCTGGAGAAACAAAAACCATGATCCTCAGGCAGAGGGAGCTCCCAGCAGTGAGCAGGGCAGAACAAACACAGCTCCTCTCCTCCCAAGCCCCCCACCCACCCCAAATGCCTCACACCCTGAGCCATATTTCAGCCCCTTCATCTCTTACAGTCCTGGCACCACCGCACTCCCCCACTCCCTGCACTGCCAGCTGTGTGACCTGAGGTCAAGTCATGTCTCCACTCTGAATCTCAATTTCCTCCTCTATAAAAAGGAGATAACCATCCTTGCATCAACCCCCTCCCTAGATGTTATAGATGAAAGATGAAATGAACTGAGGAGACAAAGGCTCTGTCTTCCAAGCTTATCAATGTCTTAATCAATGCTGGCAACCAGGTGAACCAGGCCCAGGCCCCTTCCTCACCTTAGAACTGCACCCCAAATGCAGGGGAACATAGATTTTTATACATGAAATCAATCAAATGATGCCTATTGATTAAAAGGAAACAATTCAATATTAGGTAATCTGATTTCTACTTGGAGAAAAGATTAGGAGCTTCCCAAAATGGGAGAGAAAGAGTCAAGAGGTGCAATTTCCAGAATTCAGAGAGATGTGCCCCTCCCTCAACTGTCTTCATACAATCAGCGGGATGTGGAAACACTAACTGATTGATCAGTACAGGACCACTTTTCAGATAAGACATATAGGTTGCTTGAGGTATATAATTGTGGGAAAAAATTTTTTCTCTTAGTTGCCCTGCATCTCACAGGGTTGCCTCAGTCTCTAGCCCTGCTATCAAGTTTGCCATACTGTCCACTTGGTAGTGGGGCACCTCCAGTTCCCCTTTCTCACCCTGCCACCACTGGGCTTTGCTCAGGGAGAGTGAGTCAATGTGCACTGAGTCAATCTCATGACCTAAGGCTATCACCTGATTCAAGGAACAGGGCTCAGACAGGTATTAAGGCCTCTCCTCAGCCACACAGCAAATTCTTGACATAGTTGGCCAGAGGAATCAAGGGTGACCTTGAGAGATGCACTAAAGTAAATGACCTTAGCTTCTCCTGCACTTCTCCTTGGAGAGGATTAAGGGAACCAGCACACAGATGTGGTCAACAGAGAAGTAATTGGAGAGGTAGGATGAGGGTCACCCAGCTAGTGTCATGTGTTTGGTCTGAGGCTGGATTTGAACTCAGGTCCTCATGACTTCAGGGCCTGAGGCTGGATTTGAACTCAGGTCCTCATGACTTCAGGGCCGGTGCTCTATCCACTGTGCCACCTGGCTGCCCCTTCGATGAGGGGAATCTTAAGAGCTGGTTTCCTAGAGAAGGGCCAGTGAATGTCTTTTCACTCTACACCCATCTTGCCTCAAGGCAGGTTGCTGTTGTCATAGTTGTTTTTTATTTTTATGAAAGTTTTATATTAATTTAAAAAAAATTTTTTGAGTTCCTAATTCTCTCTTTTCTTCTCATCCTTCCCCAACCACTGAGAAGGCAAGTAATATGGTTTCATTTGGGATGATGTTTTGATATATATGAAAAACCACAGAGGAATATTAGGAAAATTGGAAGTAAGTAACAATAAAGGTGTCATTTTTCCCATCAGAAAATTAACCCTGTTGGAGGATCTCTATCCCAGAAAGTCACCAGAGGACCACTGAGTTGAAGGGACTTACCTAGAGTCTCTCAGCCACCCTTCTGAACTCCAAATCCAGTGCTCTATCTCTCAGACACAGAAACTGTCAGCTGTTGTCATTAGCAACACATTTTTTAGTGAATAGAGAGCCCCAAGAATCAAGAATGGGGTCTGAAGCCAGCTTGATTGGTGGGCTCAGATAAAGGTCAATGATCTGAGCTTGAAGTAACCAGCAGTGTCCAAGAAGTAAATTAAGATGATTAGGGAAAGTGGACTCAAAGCCCTTAGGCAGCTTCACCTTAAAGTGCTTCCCTTTGAAAACTGGAACACTAAAACATTGTTGGTGGAGTTATGAACTGATCTGGATCATTCTGGAGAGCAATTTAGAACTGTGCCCCAAGGGGTATGAAACTGTGCATATCTTTTGACCCAGAAATATCACTTCTAGGTCTGTATCCCAAAAAGATCATAAAGGGGCAGCTAGGTAACAGTGGATAGGGCACCAGCCCTGGTGTCAGGAGGACCTGAGTTCAAATTTGGCCTCAGAGACTTAACACTTACTAGCTGTGTGACTCTGAGCAAGTCACTTAACCCAAATTGCTTCAAAAAAAAAAAGCATGGACCCACATGTACAAAATATTTATAGCAGCTCTTTTTGTGGTGGCCAAGAATTCGAAGTTGAGGGGAATGCTCATCAATAGGGGAACAGCTGAACAGGTTATAGCATGTGAATGTAATGGAATACTGTTGTGCTATAAGAAATGATGAGCAAGCAAACTTCAGAAAAACCGAGAAAGACGTATATGAACTGATGCAGAGTGAAGTGAGCAGAACCAGGAAAACATCGTATGCAGTAACAGCCATGTTGAGCAATGACTAACATTGATAGACTTGGCTCTTCTCAGCAATGCAAGGATTCAAGACAACTCCGAAAGACTCACGATGGAAAACGCCATCCACATCCAGAGAAAGAACTACGGAGTCTGAATGCAGATCGAAGCAGACTATTTGCTGTCTTTTTTCTTTTCTTTTCTTTTTTTTGTTTGTTTTGTTTCTTTCTCCTAGTCCCTCCCATTGGTTCTAATACTTCTTTACAACATGACTAATGTGAAAATATGTTTAATAGAATG